AATTAACATTTTGCAGATTCTGCAAGGTGTATGTAAACTTTTGATCTCAACTGTATATATCATGCCCACTCCTTTAAACATCCATGTTTTCTATTTCTTTTAAATTTCACCTTGGTATTGGGGTACAGTAGATTGTAACTACACACTCCTCAAAATTAAAACAAAAATTATATATTCATATGTCAGTCTCACTTTTATCACTGATTCTTTTGCGGATGATCCTCAATTTGTCAACAAGTCGATCACTTGCAAATTGGATTGTATTTGCGTCCACAACGTAAACCAGGCAGAAAGCCTGATCAGACAGTAAAGGGTCACTGATGTAATCTTCACTCTTGTGACTAAGTGGCTCCTCTTCTTTGAACTAAGGTATAAAATAGAGACAGAAAATCTGAAAATATCACATGAACAAACCCCCCCCCCCCCCCTTTTTTTTTTTTTTGCAACATGGTTTATTACTTTGTACTCATCCTTCACATGTCCAAATATGGCACTGATGATATCTTCTGGCTGAGACCCCTCCAATAGTTTAGGTTCTAAACCCATTATGTCAGTCAAGACAAAAGGCAAATCACAATCTACACCTCTGACTCTGTGTGATTTCAACTACGAAACAATATGGAAACAAAGCAAACCATAAATACATGTACACATAGCCAAAATGCCCATAATGCACATTCAATCAAATAATTTTAGGTTATTGGGGAAAAAACAAGCATGTTATATATGTGCATTATTATTTGAATATAATACTTACACTTTTTGTAAAACTTTTGCCCCTGCTTTGATCAACTATTGCTTCAGATGTGATCCGTCCTCGGAAGACGTTGTTGACAGAATTTATAAAACTAGACTTCCCTGCTCCGATTTGTCCAGCTACCAGGATCTTGATGATCTGTCCATCTGGATGACTCACAGAGAACTCTTCTAGACGTTTCTTCAGCACTTCCTTCTGTCTGTGCCAGCGCAAGAAACACACAAACAAACAACCACACCCTTTCCATAAATATAAAATACTTACTAATAATATGTGATAGATATGATTTTGCCCCCTGAAATCCCAGTCTACTAGGCATGAAAATAAAACAACAAAGAAATAATAAGTATTGTTAAACATTATTGTCTACTTAGCAATGAATAGTATGTAATGAACTTACCCCCAATCAAATTTCCTCCATGGTCTTTTTAATTCTATATATTTACATCACCTTTCAATAAATAAAAAGCACAATTAACAACCTTAAAAATTCACTACTAAGTTAATCATCATGAATTATACAAAGGACCTCGTTAACACCCCACACATCACAAAAAAATTACAACATTATTTATAAGCCTATAATAGGCAAACTCAATTTTCAATCTTCCTTTTACCAAACATCATTTCATGATCCACTGTAGCAAGTTGCAAACCTTTATTCTTTTTTGTTTTCCAAATTGCCAGTTTAGCTGTTCCAATTAAATAATTTCGTAAACACATTTTCCTCCTCACTAAAAACGTCTCAGGTTACTTATGTAACCATGGTTCTCTGAGTAGGGAACGAGACACTGCGTCCTCTAGGGGTCGCTATGGGGAACGGTACCCATGCCGCCATGCTGAGGGGAATGCGGGCCAGAACCATGGCGAGCACTAAGTACCAACTTTACCATTTTCATGGTGAGTTGCCCCTGGGACGTCAGACGGCCAAAGGCCTAGGCTACATACCCAAACTTACCTGTTAGGGCCAGACTCCTGGGCCCGGGGTAGAGCTCAAGGCTTGGAATCATAATGGATTCCTTTAAGGGGATACGACCAAGAACCTAGTATCACACTAAGTCTTGGCCTGTCACACAGGGGCTACCGCTTGCTCTTGCATAAGCTCTGAAAGGAACTGTCTCAACAGACCCCTAGTAGCAACACCCTGTTAAAGTAGGTATCCTAGGATACCTAGGTGGAGTGGCGCCCAAGGTGAACGGGGCTCTAACCAGCTCAAGAAAGGGCACGAAGCAACCGCGCGAAGCCCTCACCATACAGGATTTTAGAAAAGAACGCAAAGAACTAGTGTGCGAACTTACCACAATGTGGATTTTAGAAAGTGCACAAAGCCTTCACGTGCGCACTTACCATAACATGGATTTTAGGATACCGTTCTAAGGGGGCTCTCGTGGCACTCTGAAAGAGCAGCTCATAGATGGAATGGTGCATACCAAACCCAATATGTTTGCGAGTCACCAACTCGATCTAAGATATAAAGCTGGAATGGCTAGCAGTAAATCTCTAGCTGAGGGGGCAAACACCCAGCTCTCAAACGAGAGGGGAGCTCGACCTACCGCATGTTCCAATGCTGGAACAGCTAGAAATAATTTACTTCTCTGAGGGAGCATAGACCCAGCTCTCAACGAGAGAGTGGGCTCGCACAGCATGATCGTTAGAAATCAGAGGGTAAGCGTCTGTAAGCTAGCCAAAAATCTCAGCGCATCAGAGAGGTGGAGTGAAGGGCCTATGTTCACCTCATGCTGCTGGTTCCAGGTGCTCTGGGAAAAACAGAGAACTCAACTCTCACGTGAGAGGAGAACTCCGAATTCAGAAATAGCGCGCTCATAGGCAACCCTTTGGAAAAGATCTCAGTATGCAAATCAGGAAGAAATGGAAGGCTCACCTGAGCTGGAGGGTTATGGCCAGAAAAATAACGTTCATCGAGATACCTCGCAACGTCACTTTCTTCGCCCGCTTCACGGCAATTAAAGCCTCGCCATGGCGCGATCCATAACCTTCAAAAGCTCATCATACGCAGGGCAGGAGGGTTGGGAAGGCTCAGCCTCAGCTTCTCTGCCCTCCTCAGACATTTCCTGCTTTTGCTCGGCTGAACCCAGCAGAGCACTGGCCCCTGGATCAGACCATGTTAATGAAATAACTCATCCTCCAGCGGCTCACTCTCGTCCACAGCCGATGATCGCGAGAGGGAAAACCCCTCTTCAAACTCATCGGCCAGATCCACCTGCGATCCCCACGAACTCATTCTCCTCCGTGCCTTAGCAGTGGCGGGTCCTGAATTGCGGGAAGCAGATGGCTGCCCCTCTTTCCTCGAAAAGAGAGACAAACGAGAGCGGAGCTTTTTCTTGGAAAAACGCTCGCAGTGCACGCCGATTGCCCCCTCGGAGATGTTAAACAAGGACAACACGGATGCACACATCCTCTAAACGTTCTGCTAGTGCTCGCCATAATAATAGGATAGAGATTGCTTTTACCACGTTCAAATGCACGCTTCAAACAAAACAGTCAGTGAAGACGAAGAAGAGAATGACATGTTCTCCCGGCGCCTATTTATACTAATAGTCGCACCGGTAGTGACGTCATGGGCTGTCGCCGGCCAACGTGTTGTTGGTGTTTTTTCAATGTATGCTTCAGACACGGGTCACGACGAGGCAACCCCTAGAGGACGCAGTTCGAAGTTCCCTTGAAAGGGAACTTATATTTAATTCCCCCAATAAACACTCAATCAGAAAATTCTTCATTAAAATTACTAAACAAAATCTTAAACAAATTAAAAAAGACCTTGCAATCTACTACACCTCAAAAACAAATGTTCTATTTCTTCTTGCTCCCCATAAATTGACATTTCCCTTCAACTGCTGGATTCGTGTCCGTCTGTAGCTATGGCCCCATGAATAATCTTCCACTGCAGGTCAACAGTTCGCTTCTCTACAGGGTCCTCCACCTGTCCCTAACGAGAAAGTCTGGTCCCAGCAACCCTGACCATCTAGAGGTTCTTTGTCTCTTTAACAATTCCCGATGTATAAAATATAGTATAGTATAATATCTAGCCTTCTTAGATGCATCTATAAAAAGGTGTAACTGAGGAGTCTTAAAAGATAAAATTGAGTCCACATCTTTACCTTCATCTTCCTCATTTGTGACAGATTAAACTCTTATTTCTGGAAAACTTTGCGCATTTCTCATGTCCTGTATTGAGCTCAGTCCAATCCAGTTCCTGCAGCCTCTAGGTAATGCATTACAGATTTCCTCCTTCAATTTTGAGACAAGTCGTACAGACTTAAAACCTATAATTTCTTGAAGTGCCTCTGTTGATTTCCATCCCCTCCCATCTAGAAGATGTCCAAGCTTCTGAACACCATTCCTCAGTAAGCATGTCCTCACACTTACAGAAAACAACAGCCTTGTCTGAATCATTGGATTAAAAAACAGTGGTTCCTCTGGAGTCGAGTATCCTTGATCATCCACATCTCGTTCCACTCTTAAAAACAGTTCTCCATGCCAGTAGCATAGATCTATAAAAAAAGCGGAAGCTCTGACAGGCTTAACTCTTCTAACATAATTAAAAACAGATGTCTATCAAGACCAAGTCCACCTGCCTGCTTCAAAAAAAAAAAAAAAACACTTGCAGTTTTGGCCCATGCCACATCTTTGTTATAAAGGAGTCTCTGTAAAGCCAGTATCCTAAATGGCCGGATCCGACTCCTCAAGTCCAAGCCTTGACCACCATCTTGAACTGGTAAATAGAGTGCTGTTGCGTGGATCCAATGCTGTCCACTCCAAAATAAATTAACAAATGTCCTTTGTATATTATAAATTAGTTATTCCGGTGGCTCCAAAACAATAGTCCTATGCCACTACATTGATGCAGCCAGGTTGTTAATAACCAGAACTCTCCCTCTATAGGCCAATTGTGGTAATAGCCAATTCCATCTTGACAATTTAGCAGACACCTTCTCCAGCAGACCCTCACAATTTTTCTTTTGAAAATGGTAATTCCCCAAAGAACACCTAATGCTTTCAAACCATCCTGTCGCCAATGTAACCCACCCCCAGAAGTTTAAGAAACCCAGTTTCTTCCCACCTGCCAATAATAAATCCTTCACTTTTTGCCCAGTAAACTCTCGCAGAGGAGGCTTTTTCATATATTTCAATAGTTTGAGTTAAAACTCTAATATCATCCTGACTTGTAATAAAAACTGTAATATCATCAGCATACGCTGAAAAAATAATTTAAAATGATCGTTTATACTAGGAATTACAATTCCTTTAAGAACCCTCCTCAATCTACACAACAATGGCTCAATCATCAAACTATATAACTGCCCAGAAAGCAGCCAACCTTGCCTTATCCCTCTTGTGACAGGTATTGGTGCACTTAATCCACCACCTGCTTTGACAATAAAAGAAACATTACTATACAATAACCGAATATAAGATATAAAATTATCACCAAACACAAAATTCTTCAAAACATTAAAAAAGATACTCATGGTCAACTCTGTCGAATGCTTTTTCCTGAACGAATTACATAATTCCAATGTTGACATGATTAGACTGATTAAAACCAGTTACATCCTGCAATAAGAAAAGATTGTCCACTATAGATCTTTCAGGTATACAATAAGTTTGATCATTGTGAACCAATAAGTCTAGACAATGTTTAATTCTATTGGCTAAACATTTTGAAAATATTTTATAATCAGAACATAACAAAGAGACTGGCCTCCAATTCTTGAGAAATCCTAAGTCCCCTTTCTTTGGGAGCAAGGACAAATCTCGTAGGAAGGGTTTTACTTCTAATACAGTCTAACAACACTTCATAAAATCTTGTCCTATTGTATCCCAGAAATGTTGATAAAAGTCCACAGGTAAACCATCAATTCCAGGACTACGTCCAACAAGTAGCTCATGCATTGCTTCTGTAAGTTCTTTAAAAGTAATTAGCGTGTCCAGTGTCCTTTTCTGTTCATCCCCAAGCTGAGGTAGATCTTTGAACAAATCATCAGCACAGAATCACAGTTCTCTTTCAGTCAGTCACTCTCGACGTCACGTCGGTAATGACCAACGAATTGGGATCTCGCTTAGAGAGACCAATCCACTTCGAGAGTAAAATAAACGAGCCAATGCACATTAGCATGCGATGATTGCATTCAGCTGCTGCTGATCGCAGCGCGAGTATAGTTAGGCAGCAGGTGCAACGCATACTCAGCGGTTGTTTCGTTCTGCTCCTGACTTCTGCTTTGCAAAGAAGAAACTCAACGAGTTCAGCGAGCTCTTGGGAAGAACTGGTGTTGGTGGTAAGGCGCTTCAGCGGCAGTGGTTCTCCCCGTGTCGAGTGGGTTGCACACATCAGGCTGCACTACCCCGTTTGTGTTGCAGGTGGCCATCTCCCCTGTGCGCTTCAGCACACTAAAAGAGTAATTTCTAAAAGAGCATTCAACGGGGTGGACGTCTTTTTAAAGATGCGTCTTTCAAATATGCCCTTCCACCCGTCCGTTTCTGGATGCGGTAATTACCTGGCGCCGGGTGATGGTCACGATCGCTGCCTCACGTGTCTGGGCGTTAAGCACGCTAAGGCGGCGTTTGTGGACGACTCATGCTCTCATTGTGGGAAAATGACCGTA